TAAACCTAGTTGTTGAACTCCAGATCGAGTGGTCTGAATTCAAGCCCTGGCCAGGGTCATTGTGTTGAGTCCTTGGGCAAGACACTTAACTCAAACAGTGCCTGACCTCACCCAGGTGTATAAATTGGTGCCAGCAAATTGAATGCTTACCCTGTTATGGACTAGCATTCCATCCAGGTGTAGTAGGAATACTCCTAGTTACATCCTTCTATGAAACTGGAGATAAGCACCGGCTGTTTAGTACATGTACCAGTTGGTAAGAGGAACTCTCCTAATCAGCAGATAATGTGTCTCTGTCGACACAATAGAATGAAGGGTTAGAGAGGTACGCTAATTCCCAATAAAGGCCTTGCACCTAAGGCAATGTTGCTTACGTTATTTGGAGATCACTCCTGCCATATGAAATCCCAGGTGGTCTAAAAATGGCCAATCCTGTGATTTAAATGTCCCTCATGTGGACAGTCGAAGTGGCTTTACACACCTTTTCATCCTCCAAGAAATCATCTATGCAATGGCACATGGTAACATCAACACTAACTGCTTACCATGTCTGAAAATAACTTGAGAGCTATTACCTTGAGAATACAGCCTACACGGGGGATTTACTCTCTTACCCTTTAGATATCATCCCTTGGTCTTGGTCAGTAAATTGCTGTTCAGAGATTTATATCCTTACACTGACACTTGAATACGTTCATTAGAGTTTCAAGTTGTTGCTTGACTGTTGATTGCAGTTGATTGGCTGTTGTTGCTCCATTGTTCAGAGATTTATTCCTTGTACTGATACTTGAATAGGTTCATTAGAGTTTCAACTTGTTGCTTGATTAGGTTACATTGCTTTTTATCCATCTAAATGTATAGTAGGCTAAGGGCTCCATGAGTAGGTTAAGAGTTTCATATGTGACTTTTTTTTCAAGAGAAGGGGGCTGGTTATTATTCATTCATTTCTGCACATAGCAGGCATTCTAATCTTCCTGATTTTATAGGATTTTTCAGAATTTATTTTCTCGATTTCTAAACAACTGTCTCTATTCCTGGAAAAGTACTTCTAATAGTAAAGCCTCTTACGCTCAGCTAGCTCACAGCTGTCTGGCAGTGCTTAATTCCGGTTTCAGTAGCATGAAGTGGCTAGAAGTTTTGCTACTCCCCCTGGATAGCTCGCTGCATGTAGTCTGTCACAGGGTTATCGTCAGCATTTTGTCAGGCTGCCCCAACAACTCACTGGTACCCATTTGTACACCTGGCTGGAAAGTAAGCCCTTTTTTCACCACTGGTACAGCTACTTACACAATTTACAACAGTAATCCACTACTAAAATCCGTTACATTACTAACAAAACTTGTTATACAGTGCGATTAAACTTACGCACTATTGTACTAACACTACTTAGAATACGATACGATTACAGACGCTACCTACAATACTACAACTTGCATAAACTTACTCTGCAACACAATACGATTACTTATTACATGCATACTTCATTGGCTTGTCCCCACGGGACAAACCAATACTTACTTGCGATACTAATACTTACACTGCTCAAAATATAATTTGATTAGTGATGCTACTAACAGATAATTATAAATATAAGTTAGCTCAATTTCCACCACTCTCTCGAGTCCAGTCTACGTTCTTCCCAGGCTCCTTTCCCCAACAGCAGCTGGTAATGAAGCCTAGATAGAGAGAGGCACTGTGAGAGTCAAGTGTCTTGCGTAAGAACACAACACAATGTCCCCAGCCAGGGCTCAAACCCAGGGCCAGTTGATCCAGAGTGCAGTGAACTAACCGTTAGGTCATTATGCCTCCCTCTGCAGTATAAGGCTAAAATTTATGGGCTCCAACCTTCTGTTGAACGCCTCTGGTCATATACTTATATTTCAGGTATCAGAGTTTCACGAGTACTGTAAACCACACTGTAAAACACAACTTTCAGAGTTTTGTCAAGAACTTACTGGAATTACACAGGTAAATTAAATGCTTATTTGAAAAAATAAACGCTATCATCAACTGAGAATGAAAAGAGCAAAGTTTAGGGTTGAAATCACCAGCAATCTGATTTTTTTTAATGGGTTTTTTTATGAGAACAGTCATTTGACATCACTGGAAAAAATTGAATCCTATAATCGACGTTGATTTCCCAGTATGAGTTATTTTAATGAGTAATTTTAAGTTAGGGGGAAGACAGAGCAGGAACCCAGGAGAAAACGAATGGGTGGGAATCCGAGGGAAACGGTCTTTGTGATATGACGTGAAGCAGAAAATCATGTAAAATGTTGCATAAAGGCAAAGAAGAAAGTGTCGGGAGCTTCCAGTGAATAAGATGGGAACTGGGGTAACGGGTGTGGGAAGATCAGATCCGCCCCCTTATCGCCCCCTATCTCCCCTGCCTATTTTTAAGGTGGCATTCACCCATTGTAATAATAAAATCTTCATGTTATCCAGGGTATCTATCTTGCAGTGTGGTGCTCTTTCACGGAGGCCTGAATATTTATCTCCACACGGGACACTGATCCCGGTAGTATGCAGGAGGCGTGTCAAGAGCGTCGGACCGGTATCTGGGAGGTCTGGGTTTGAACTTTGTCGAGGGCTCAGATTTTTTTCTTTGTTCCACGCTCGCGAAATAATGAACATTGCATCTTTCACAAAAAACTGACTGTTCAGCTCCCCTGTAAATGAATCTCTTTTTCAGGGCTTTTGTGGTAAGTAAATTACAAGAAGTTATTGGCACTACAAAACCATTCTGTTTTTTTTCTTTCTGTCTGAAAGGAAACTGTAGACAATGCTGCTGCTTTTCCAGAAGTCCTTTCCAAGTTTGAGCAGTGGCTTACAGATCACAAACTTGGATCAGAATATAAATTTGGTGTTGTCACGGATGGGTAAGCCAGCATTTGACTCATATCAATATCTAAATCCGCTTGGAAATCTGAAGCTTCATGCTACCAAACAGCTGTTCCAAAGCCTGAATTTCAACCTCGCCTCCAGTCGGCTTCTTACTAGTCACGATGCAAATTAGCTGATGAGCACATCGGGAGTTTTTGTTCAAGTTTGGTGATGACAACTAGAGATTGAAATGCATTAACACAGGACATAAGACGCTGCGAAACAGAACACTCTTCTTGGTCACTAAGACTCCACCTGTTGAATAGTTTTTCAAGTTTGTCGTTTGTAATCTGATAGAGACTAGTTCGTATTTTGTGATCGTCCGGGTGAGGGTAGTTCTGAAAAGAACTGTTGTTGCTGTCACCAACAACAGTTCTTTTCAGAACTACCCTCACCCGGACGATCACAAAATACGAACTACTGATACTCCTGGGTTCAAACCATTTACTCTGATAGAGACTACCGGGATATTAAGCCTGCGTACAAACTAAAGGAACAAAGAAAAAA